AAGAAATAAAATTTTAAATAAAATCTTCTAGGATCTTATTAAATCAATATTAATCGAGCAATTTAATGCTACAATTCATTTTGGTCGTTTACAAATGAAACCTGGTAAACCAACTACGTTTGCTACATGTGAAGTCGATGGAAAGAGAAAACTATTCTTTGGTTTACCAGGTTGTTAAAAAAAATAGGAATACTTTCATATCTATTGGATTTTCTGATATTTACAGGCAATCCCGTATCAGCTTTAGTTTCTTATTGGTTATTTGTTGTTCCTACACTTAAACGTATGATGGGATATATACAACCACATCATCCAATAATTCGTGTTCAGGTATAGTTTAATTAATATGAAAACAAAAAAGAAAAAAGACAAAAAATTTCACAAAAGCAATCGTTCGTTTTTTTTTTGTTCGATTATTTAGCTTAATCAGCCTATCGAATATCTTGATCCACGACCAGAATATATACGTGTAATCATTGAATGGTCAACAAAATCTTCAATTCCAATAGCTCGTATTGTTTCACCTGATAATCAATGTAGTTCACGTTTACTTAGTGCTCGACGTTGTACAGGTTTAGTACGTTTACCAAGTAAAACTGATGTTAATCCATCATTTTTTAATACTAATCAAGATGGTCTTGGTCAGCAAGTTGATTGTTTGCTCTTGTCATTGTAATTTATATTCAAAAGAAAATAAACGAACAAAAGAAAAGAGAGAAAAAAAAATGTATTTTTTTATTTGTATTTTTTTTGTGTACAATCATTTGATAGTTCTTAAGATCGGAAACCACCGACTAAAAATGATAAATAAGCTGATAATGCATTTGCATTAAGCATGTTCATATTAACTATATTATTTGGATTTATTAAAGCATTATTATTGACATTATAACCATTAGAATTTGTATTTGTATTTGAAAGTTTTAATCCAAGTGGAAGACGTGTTGTTGTTGTTGAAAATTTATTTGTATTAAGGCACATTGATGATAATCGTTGATTATTATTTGATGATATTGTTGACATTTTTAAACCCATAGCTTTTTTTATATTTTCTTCGAATAAAATTGTACCTTTTGCTTTAGATAAATGTGTTGAATCTTCAAAACAACCACGAATATCATGTGAAATATTTGGATGAGAAATAATAAATACTTTTAATTCAGGTGATGCCATCCCTAAAAAATAAATGTATTAATTTTAAAAAAATAATAAAACAAGTTTATTTAATTAACCTTGTAATAAATAATTCAATTTTTCAGTTTTTATTCGACTTTCATCATTTGATTGTCGAGGAAAAATAAGTGAAATATAAACTTCTGATTGTGGACTAAAAGTTTTTGTTGTTACAATTAATTCTTTGATTTGTTCACTAACTTCTTGTTCACTTAATTTATCACGATTAAGATCATTTGCACCAATATGAAACATACTTTAATATTCAAATATATATATATAGATATTTGTAAGATTAATTAATCGAAGAAGAAAGACTTACATTTTCTTTGTACCAATAAAACGGGTTGTTTGAATAAATTCAAGAGCTTGTGCTACTCGTTTACCACGCTAGAAAAAAAGATCAACCGACTATATGCTTAATAAATTGGATTCGTTTTATTAATGTAGAATAGGTTAAAGGTTTAGAAACGAAATATTGCTTGACTTTTCTCCTTAATAGTAATAGCTAGAACTCATAAGAGAAAGTATTTCAGTCGCTGAACCAATTCTTTATCAGAAGAAGTGCTTGTCAAAATCCTAATATCAAGTTTGAGTAACAGTTTTCTGGATCCTATCAAAAGAATTTTGAAAATAAGCTCAGCTAATAAAGACAAAATGTTACCAAGGTATCGACGACCTATCTTCAGCAAACCATACTCATTCCATGAAAGACCGTAAAGTACAAAATACATTAAATTCATATAAGTTTTAGAAAAATAGCGTTTCGGAGAATGAGTGTAGTTCACTACGTTGGTTCAGAAATTTTGTTTTTGATCAGATGAGCTTGTTTGAAAAACATTAGAATTGAGAAAAGTACTTTTGAAAGTCATGATATGAATGACCTTTCACCCGCATTTGCCCATAGGACTTTGTCATGTACTATTTCCTGATAGGAAATCATTTCGGCTAATTAAGTCTTGTCTATGATTTCTTCTGTCTAGTACTGTTGCTAAGAATACTTCGTCTCTCAACATTGTGTCTATACTTTATAATTAAAAAATCAAAGTTTTGTAAAGGAACAATTTTAATCAAAATATTGCTTTTAATTTACCATTGTTTTAATATATGTTTTTCGTTCGATATCAAATCGAGCTGGATCAAGATATTTTAATGTTGAATCACCAATAAGAACATTTTCAAATGTTAATGTTCGTTCTGCTCGATATTTTAATGTATTATTCATTGATTGTTGATTATTATCAAGATTTTTAATTGTTCGTCCACTTGAATTATTACTATCGAGTATAATATGATTATTATTTTGAGCCATTGTATAATTACATGTTGAACTATTTGATGATAACTCTAAAAATACAAAATAATCAAAATACGAATTGTTTCTCTATTTGAACTATTTAATTAATATATAAATTACCAATATTTTCATTATTTGTTGTTGTTGTTAAATCTAGTTGTGTTGTTGATTTAATATTATCATTTGTAATTAATGAATTAATTTTTGATGATGTTAATTGTTCTGATATAGCTATTTCACTTAATCGTCGTTGAACATATTCACAAATTTTTGATTCCATTGTATTTTCTAAATTAAGTACTTCATATATAAGAAGAGTTAATTGTTGTCGAAGTTTCGAACAATTTTCACATTGATTTGTATTATTTAGTGTGGAATCACCACCTCCATGAGATTGATGATTAGTAACACATGAATCACCTGTAGCTGTTATTAATGGATCTTGAATGACATTAGCTAAAGCAGCATGAACAGCTTGACTAAGTGAAGATGTTCCGGATGAAGATGACAAGTCTGTAATTAAAAAAAAATCATATATTTTTTTGCGTTTTAGTGGCAAAGGAAAAAAAAAATGTTCAAAATTGCAACTAGTTACGGAATTATTATAGTTCTTTATTGGTGTATATATACAGTAAGATCTTTCTTAAATGAATGAATATTCACTTTTGAGAGATGTTACATGTTTTACTGCGAAATGAGAAAAAAAGTTTTTAGAATATAATCCTGTTAATGAGCTTTGAAATACTGAGAGATCATACTCTGTGTTTATTAATTTTTCTTCGTTGGAACAGCTATGAATTCAAAAACTTCTCAATAGACCACAAGACTTTGCTTTGTTTCATAAAGTCCTATATTTATTATTTTGGTGTCAATAATCATTGAAATATTGTTTTTTTTCTCGTTTTAAAATATCAGATATAGAACCAAGTGAAATATTTGATTTTTTAGTTAATTTACAGTTTGATGAGCTATTACCACAGTTCTTATTATTGATGAATGTAAGATGGTGTTGTCATGTCATTATTTTCTCAGATATGCACATTAATAACAAATAAAGAACAGCAGTGCCAGTGTATTAGACGGAAATGATGAAGAAGAGAGCGAGAAAAAAAGTACGTGTATATACATTTAAAAGAGATGAAAATGAGAATCAGAATTGTAAAAATAATTTTGATATTCAGAGTAAAGAGATTTTCATTAATACAGATTTCACCGTATCCTGATAAGATTTGTGGAAAATCATGACTCGAAAAACATCGAGATCTGTGTTATTGCATAACATATGATGCAAAAAAGAAATTATTTGAATGTGAGTTCTTTCTTTCTGTAGTCCAAAATAGGAGTCCAGTTAATAACTCCATGCAATGATTAAACTCAATTATGAATTAGTTTTTCATTCATACAATTATTAACCTAACAAGGGAAGTCATTCAACTAATGAATCACTTCCGAGTTGAGACTACACGGAATATGGAAAACTACATAAGCAATAAGTACTCAGAAAAGAGTTCGTGGTCTCTTGAGGAAAACTGATTTTCGAATTTCGATTTGAAACTTAGTATACAGGTAGCCCTTGACGAGAATAATTTATTGTGAGTGTTTCAGATCTTGTTGTTTCTATCTTAAGAAACAGTTCTGATAATAGCGCATCTTTTATATGGTAATGGCAGATCTAGCATTATTATTATATAGAACGATTCAGTGGAGACTAGGAGCGGTTCAGTGATAACTAGGGGGTGATCATGATCATAAAACATGGTATCAGCTTATTTTGTAAGCCGTTTCTACTGGAAAAAACTGAAAATTTTTTTCAACTTGGGGTGATCACCTCCGGCGCCCTCTAAATCCGTTACGGTCGCCTTGCACATAACGATAGATTCGCTGCTCTTATTTAAATAAAATCCAAAAATTAGTTTTCGTAAACTATATCATTCATTTTAAAACTACCGTAAACTTCTAATACCTCGGCAGCAATAAGCTAAGGGTCAGAACTCTTTTCAAAGCATTTAAAACTCATTTAGATTTACACGATGTACACAGTCATGATTGAAAAGCGGATTGATCTGTTGGAAGATTTTCCTCGTAAGATTATTTTCTAATTTTACCTCGATGTTCTGTTAAGAATTTTTTAGTTACATTTGAATCAATTTGTTGATGATGTTCATTATTTGATTTTGTAGTTGCAAATGCATTTTGATTTTGATTTAAAATATTACTATTATTATTATTATTATCTTCTGATGAATTAAGTATCGTAGACATAATCGTTATATTCGATCGTTCGAAGGGAGATAAAGATTAATGATAAATATATATATATGTATGTATGTTTATTTTTCGTACCGATATATTAGAATAAGAATAGAAGAGAATAATATTAATTTGTATCGAATATTTACTTTTAATTTGTTAAGATAGACCGAGATAGACTCGCATAGAACTGAATGAATTATAGAATGTTTAAGGCGCGACTTTTAATTAGTTTTATTTTACTATAAAAGAGAAAAAACAACAACAGCAAGAACAATATTTACAATGAAGCTGATTTAGTATGATTAAAAAATTGTACGATATTTGAAGTTTGTTTCAGATTTCTATTTTCATTATCAGATAAAGATTTGACAATCGGTGTTAAATGCTTATGACCATTTGGAGAACTTTTATATGTTGAAATAATTTCAAATGTTACAGATTGATTTAAAGTTTTTTGACCACGTTTTTTTATTTTTAGTTTTGAAAATACTATTGCTGATTGATGAAATTGAAGTTTTTGACAGCAACAAAATGTTTGTTTAAATGTGTCACGAAATGCTTGTGACATTAAACAATAAAGAATAAAATTAACTGAATTGTTTATTAAAGCTAATATATCAAACGTATCACCTAAAAGAAAAAAATATTTTTTATATTTGAATGAAAGAAAAAAAAATGAATCTATTTTACCGAGATGTTGATAGATTTGAAAATATTTTGTTGAATTATTTTTTGATAAAAATGTTAATAATAATATTGCACCTTGTGGTAATTCTGTAATAAGAAATAAAACACAAACAATAACTAACATTAATGTTGTACGACGATTTTCTTTTTCACGTTTTCGACTACGTAAACGTCCACGATGATTTTTTGACTTCGTTGTTTTTATTATTGAATGTCTTTCTAATAATTGTGATTTTTCTAATGCATTACGTAATTGTTGTATTAATAAAAAACTAAATAATAGTAAAAATATACATGGAATTAATTTAAATATAACACCATGTAATACAAATACAGTATCACGTAATGATATTGATTTACTAAATGATGTTTCTTCAAAACGATAAGCGAGTATTAAGGAATTATTGGATGTTGATTGTGTGTCATTAAAATAGCCTTCAACAATATGCTGTAGCACATAAGATGGAATACAAAGAATAGTCGCTAATATAGCAACAATAATAACACCAATAAAGGCACGATCTGGTGATAATACATAAACAGTTAAACTTTTACAACTGAGAAATACATAACGAAAAGCAGCAAGATATACAGTTAACCTAAATAGAAACAATTTATTTAGTTATTATCTGCTCTATTATGGAAAATCAAATTTATAAAGACCTTCAAAATTACTCTTTTTTCCGTTAGTTAATGTTCTAAAATCTTAAGTATTTATAGATGTATGAATTGATAATTCAGAATCACAATTTATACATATTTTGAATAAAATCTCGAAGAAATATATCACTATTCAAAATTGCTCATTTTATAGGTTATAAAATGTTTATACTGACGAAAAAATTTGAATTTTGTAGAATTATTTTTATTCTCTATAGTTTATAGTATTCGTTAAAGTCATATCGTAAAGTTATTTATAACTAATACTACACGTAAAATTACAAATTCTATTTCTGTTTAAATATATTTATTGATAATTAAAAATTATTTATAAAAAAATAAAAAAACATTTAAATTGATAAATGATTAATTGTAGAATTAATTCTATGTAAAATTTCATTCGATTAATTTCCAATCAACTAGATGTACCTGTACAATTCTCTTCCACATAACGTACATATGAATGCACGACAGGGTACGCAGAACTTTCTACATATACTCTCATGATATTGTCATGTTCGAAAACATACTAGAAATATCTTTTTAAAAAAATTTCACGTGTGCATACAAGAACTCACAAAAATACAAAAGAAACGTAACAATAATGTCTGAACATATTGTCTTTTTGGATTTTCTGATAAACAGTTCGAACATATGTCATTGTATAAGACATATTTCTTCCACTAATCGATCATCTACTTATAATAATAGTCATTTAATAATGATCAAACATACATGTACATAAATAATAATGTCTATTAGAAAAATTCGAAAAAAAAATGAATGAATTTTTCAATCAATCTAGTATATTTGTTGCAGGTGAAATTAATTTTTAAGGTGACATAAGTAATTATAGTCTACGAAGAAACCGATATCATTTTCATGTGAAAGCATCCAGATTATAAGATAGCATAAACTTGCATGTCGTTCTAGAATCATTTTAATAAAAGCACCCAATAACACTTTTTTTCTCTTGATATGCAGACTTTAGTAAAACTCTGATCATCAAACAAATATTTTGACATTCACATACGAGTCAATATTTCTTGCATGAATACGTAAGAGTATTATATGAGAAAAATTGCAAGGATATATTTCTTTTATATCTTAATTCGAAATGTAAAAGAGAAAAAGAATGATATTTTCATGCGTATGTTTCTGACACGCATAGTATTGCATGTATTATTGTCTTAGATTTAAACATAACAATTACAAATATTAAAAATAACTTGCTTGTTTACAAACTATACATAACGGCTTAAAAATTATTTTGAAAGTAAACGAAAGAATTTCTGCTAATTTTCCGCAAAGAGACTTATTTTTTCAAGCATTTATGTTTGACAACGTATCATTATGAATCGACAATAATTTGGATGTAAAAGCTTTTCATCATGAAGTTGCATGATTAAATATATATATATCAAAGAGTTTCCTTTTCTTGTTATATAAGCTCAAATGACTACGATCAAAAACAAAAAATAAGAACACATGCAAATATCTCTTCTTCTTGTTGTTGTTGTTGTGTTCTTTCATGTAATCTTAGAAGAACAAATATGTCTAGATTTTAATTAGTAAATTTTCAAACTAAGAAATCAATCTTTTAAAAACAAATTTTTTAATTTTGTTTTATTCTTACCATGTACTAATACAATGTAATGTTAATGTAAATAACATTTGTATCATATAAAATTTAACTTGAAAATATGATGTTGGATCAGGTTCACTTTTAGCGTCATCTTTTGGTAAACAATAAAAAAGAATAGCTGCTGGTAAAACAAATAACATTTTAAGTAAATCTGATAAAGCTAATGATGTTAAAATAGTATTTGTTGATGAACGCATCAATGGACGAGTCAAAACAATAATATTAAATAAATTACATGTTAAACCAAATATACATACAGCACTCGATATAAAACCATGATAATTACGATAAAGTAATCTATAGCGAACAAGTGAACTATTATTATTGATATCATCAAATTGAGGATTATCGTTCATATCTGATGATACCATTGTTAGTGTCCTATTAAACATTAATTCTTGAACTATAATTGAAGTTGAAAATATATCTGATTGATTTTGTGACATTGATTGTAATAATGTTGATGAACGAGGCGACATTAGATGAAATAATGGTTCAAGCGATAAAGCTAAAACATATATATAATACGATAATAGATTCCATTTATCTATTTGTGAACTAAGAGAAGGTATCTACACACATCCATAATTTTTCTCAGAAAAGGGCATAATGTAATGTCGGTTCACTAATAGTGTAGAAACTGTTAATCTGTCTTTTTCTCTGACACATTCTTTTTCTTTCTCTCTGTTACTATCTTTCTATGGCATAACAGAACTTTGATCGACAGGAGTAATGTGAAGTATAGTAATATTAGCATACATTGGAAAAAAAAGTTTCTCTGTTTATGTGACTTTCTTATACATTGTTTATTGTAGACTTAACATTCTTTGACAGATCACATTCATAATCTACTATAAACAATGTCGATAATATAATAACTTTCAATATAGAACAAGAAATATCGATGAATATGAAAAAAAAATGATTATGAAAACTTTCATGCGCTTATTTTTCTCAATAAAGTTTTCTGCTAGATCGAATAAATATAAAAATAGTTCATAGAAATGGAATAGTATCAATACAAACATCAATCTATCATTAATGAAGACAGACTGAACAAAATGCCTTAAGACAACAAACAAATAAAATCAGGAGATTAGTAATTATATCTTCATAAATGCTACTTATGAAATATGGTCTTTGAATAAAAAGCGGAAATTTGAATTACTCTTTTGTATAAAATACAATATCTATACCATTTTTTTGTTTGAATTTATCACTTTTTTTTCTTGATCATACAATGTGTAACACCATTAGATATTTATTGAAGTGAAAATAAATGCGAACAAAACTATATTCGTATTTTGGTTATTATTCTTATCATGCTTGCAATCGTTCTGAGAAAAATATATAAGCTGCTTGACAATAGAAGACACATTCTTAGTTTATCGTTGTCACGCACATAGTTCAGATATTTTAAGAACGAATACTTACGTTTAAGAAATATCTCTTCCATCGATCAAATTACTAATTTGAATAGATGAAAAAATCACTAAGAATATTGAGAAAAAAGTCAGATAGAAATACGTAAAAAAAAACTAAATTTTTCTTACGCATTGATTAGCTCTTGTTCAAGCAAAAATGAGAGCACTCAAAAAATAAGCATTAAATCAATAAAATTGTCAAGAGAGTGAGTTTAGTTCATAGTAAACAGGTTTACTTTTGCTCTTTATTTTTCATTTGTTCTCGTGAAAAAAGGCGAAACAGAGAAAATTGACAGAAAATTATGATGAAATAAAAGTCGTTTGCAATTATTATTAGTAATAATAAAAATAATAATTACCTATTTATCTATTTAAACTGAAGTTAATATTTAGCTTAGTTAATTAAAGAACAATTTGAGTAGCTAAGATACGCTTGTTTGCTTTTTCCAGGATGTTTCGTATTACAACAACCCAGGCAAAGCATATATGAAAGCCAAGATTCTTTTATACATAATAATGCATTGATAAAATCAAACGACCCGAAATTTTGCATCGATGCTTCCAAAAAGAAAAACACGAAGAATTTTATAGCTCGAGGCTTTTCATTTGTACTTGGGAATCTTCTATTGGTCTTGAATTCTTTTTATAAAAAATACATTCATGTCTTACTGATAATAAGCATTTGATTACACAGTGTATGAAATATTTCACTGCTTCTTTCCATATAGACAAACCAAACGGAAGAAGAATATGATGCATGATTAAGTAAACGAGAGAAAATCCATTAAGACTACTAAAAATATTTTCTTTCTTTTGATCTATCTCTTTCTTAACAAACGCTCTAGAAGAACGTATTGAATAGATGTTTTATATATATATTATCTGAAACTATTATTATATAATTACTTTGAACAAGTTTTGTTGTTTTCTTAACACTATTTTTAAAAATGAATTCTTTCTCTTTGTCTATAGAAAAAAAAAATTTGTTTTTCTATTTTTGAAACCTACTCAAATTTCAGCTGTCTCTTGACTAGAGGGTTTCTTCAACATTTATTGAAAAATTCAATTAGACATTAAGATATCTGTCATGATAACCTCTATGTATCAATTTGGTTTTGGTATTTTTTTCAGTACAAAAAAAAGAAAGAATTAACTTACTTCTATGAAAATTGATTTTTCAATACTTTCTTAGTAGTAGCATAACGTGCTATGCTATTTTTCTAGCTAAGTATTTAACTATTTAAACTGATCATATTAATAAATGATAGTCTTTGAATACATCGATGTGTTGTATTCTTCTGCTGTATTATCTAATTTCTTTTTTATTTCATATACTTTTCATTATCTAAGTGACAGCAATAGCTCTTGTGAAACGTTGAGAAGAATATATATATAATAGTAATGAAAGCGCTCAACTAAATAAATAAAAACGGATTTTTTTCTATTTAGTAGCACTGTCAGGCTCATACTTTTAGACTTACACTTATTTAGTTCAAAGAGTTCATGTTTTGAATGAAGTATATAAATATTGAAAGAAAATAGGCAGAGAGTTCTCAATTTAAAACATTTCTGAAATGAACTTCAATATTTTAATAGTTATTCTCAAAACATTATGATAATTTAGGTTTTTTTTACCTATTAACAAAACAATTGTATATTTTATTCTGTCAATCTCGCTATTAAATGAAGTCGGAATTTCGTATCCATGACTAATTTAGAGCATGGATAAGTTCAACGGAAGAAACTCTACTATCTGTTCATTCTTACAATAAATGTTTGATTAACCTTTGTGTTCAATTTTTTTTTGTTTAAAAATTAATTGAAGCGAGCTTTGAATTGGCATATATTTTTATTTTTATGATTCAGGTCTTTTTTTCTTGTTATAGAACAGCTTGAGCTTGCTTTCTGTACTGACAAAAAGAATTAACACTTATTGAGAGTAGAAGAATATAGTCACAGATTAAAATTTAATTACTAATGAGTAATTTTAATACTTTCTTTCTCGCATATGTAAATTGCACTGAAGTGAACGAAGCAAAATATATTTCAGTGCAATATGAAAAGACCTTCAAGATTCAATCGAGAGAAGCATCAAAACTACTGTATCTCACTTAGACTTTATAACAAAAAATAAAATAGATAAAGAGGCCTGATAGGTTTGTTCAGAAAGTCAAAAGCAAATGAAAAGACATTGGTTATATTTTATAAGTTTAATAATCGAGATATGTGTATATAGATTGTATATTAAAGTAATAATCTATTAAAATATTCCTATCAGATTTGATAGATAAAACAAGATGAAAGCGAGCAAAAAAATCAATAAATGTATATAAATTAGGATACATTTAGGATTTACTTCAAAAATATTTATATATTTTATGAATGTTTTGAGAAAGAAAATTTCATATATTATTAACGTTTAATAATTAACTTTTCCTTTTTTCTGTATGAAAGATTAGTGCATATGAAATTTCAGTGTAAGTATCACCATAACTGATAATGCGTAAAGAATGACCTTTTCAGTATATTGTGAGTATATCTCTCAAATTTTTAATGGTTTTTTTTTTACAATATAGCTCATGAAATTCTCTACAGAATATAATGAAACTGACTGAAAAATATAACTAGAAAACTATATTCAGTCCGCAATTTTATACTCCGAAAAATATCAATTGCACACTATATTTTTTTACAAAATAAATTATTTTCCTTCGGTTTCACTATACACATTGCAGATAATTCTAAAGCAAATATCTTTTCTTTTCAAGTATTCTCTTTCTAGAAGAACTCAAGAAAAATCTTTAACCCTTTCCGGCCGGCTATCAGAAGACCGGTCGCTAGAAAATCTTTTCCAGTGAATTTGTAGTTCTCTCATAGTGAGGATATCAAAGGTCTAGTCGTTGAAACGAAAAAGTTCTTCGTTACGGAATGGCTCAATGTTGCCATTTGGCAACATCCGGCCGTAAGGGTACAAAAATTTTGAAAAAAACAATTTTTTTTCATCTATGAAAGTTCAATAGTTTCTAGTTTATTTTGAATCTATATCTTCATACTAAAGCACAGTCTGCCTTTCTGTCCGTCTTTTTCAGACCGAAGCTGAAATATACCTAGAATATTCTAAAACTTTACAAAATTAGTCAGTTTTTCCAAAGAAGTTCTGAATTTCAGAAAGATTGTAGGAAGTTTTACAATATTCTAGAGTATTCCGACATAGACTATTACAGAATGCTGCGAAACTTTCTTCAATTTCTTTGAAATTCAGAACTTCTTTGGAAAAACTGACTAATTTTGTAAAGTTTTAGAATATTCTAGGTATATTTCAGCTTCGGTCTGAAAAAGACGGACAGAAAGGCAGACTGTGCTTTAGTATGAAGATATAGATTCAAAATAAACAAGAAACTATTGAACTTTCATAGATGAAAAAAAATTGTTTTTTTCAAAATTTTTGTACCCTTACGGCCGGATGTTGCCAAATGGCAACATCCCGGTTTTTTATTGTTCGAATTTATTCTATAACTCGACTTAGTGATACAGTAGACTGTATACCTCTGGAGAAAAATTCACCGCTAATTGCTTCGTCAATTGAATGTTGAGGCACATGCAAAAAAAAATTTATTTCGATCCGCATGCCCTTTTGAGGCATCGTGAGTTGAGTACTCCATCTGCTCACTGAGAGATTTTATTTTTCGTATAAATACATGAACTTACATAGAAATGTATTAGTGTAATTATCAATGTGTTAAAAAAATTATAAATCATTAACTTAAGTCAATCGGGCAGAAATATTGACGCCATGTTCCCAAATGGCACCATCCGGCCGGAAAGGGTTAAATAAGTCCATGAGAATTTAACAGTTAATCTTCTTCATAAGCAAGTTAGAACGGATGATATTTCTTCTTAATCGAACTAATTATTACAGATAAAAGCTTTTACAACAGTTTACTCGAATCTAGTCTCGTAGAAGAATACTTTTCTTTGAACTTGGCAGTAAATCTGAATCTATATGAATTATTATTTCACCTAATTAAATCAATATTTCGATGAACATATATAGA